TAATAATAATAATAATAATAATAAAAGAAGAAGAAGAAGAAGAATAGGAATAAGAAAAAATAATAATAATAACAATAATAAGAATATGAATACGAATAATGGATGTTTGCCTTTGGTGGTGAAGGAAATTGGCATCAAACTGAGCAGCCAAACATCCTCTGATGAAAACAAAACAAACAAAAAAGTTCAAGCAGAGACTTTACAAAAACATCTTTTTAAAAATCATAATAATAAAAAAATCAAATAAATTATTTACAAAACAAGAAATGTAGTTTCAATGATAAGTCTCCAGTATTTCTGGTATTAAAAGCTCCCCAGAATAAGAGCAGGACCTTTTAGAGGGTAATTAGTGTCTAATTATTCACCAGACAAGAGGGAAATTGACAAGGTATAAAAAAAGGCTGGTTTTCTTCAGTTGTTTCCAGCACCGTGTCTCTGGGAGCCGGCGTTGTGTTCGCCGGCTGTTTCACTCGCTGTCAGAAAGGATTTCAAGCCAAGAGCCATCTAAGCATGAGTACGGGAGGACTCGTTTGACCTCATTATACATCAATAAAGAAAGAAGCCGGTTTACTAAATATCACCGGGCTGCTCGTGCTTCATGTCGTATCATGCAGGAGTGTGCGAAAAAGATGATCCCAGAAACGTTCTGTGAGCCAAGAGAGAAGAAGAAGAAGAAGAAGGGAGATGCAGGGGGAAAAAGGGAGGGGAAGAGCGTATGATGATTGGGTGAAGGGGGGTGGGGAGGGGGTGTTGAACTAGCCAGGAGGGATTCTGATAAGCAGGGGGGGTGTGAGGGGGAGGGGGGAGCAGCTACGCAAAGCCCTGTTTAAGAGCAGAGCAAGTGAAGAAAAAGATTTATGCTTTTAATTAATGGCAATTAAACCATGCCTGTTGGGCTGGCCTTTGGCGATTGTTCTCAGTAAAAAGGAGGCCGAGCTGGTGACAAGCATTTGAATCCACTAAGTTCCACCGAGGGAGCTAACACTGCAGGCATCAAACCTACACTAAATCAATAAAAGAATTAAACTTTCATAAATTGCATTTTGACAAGTACGAGCCGGCGCTAAGCTTTGATATTACAAACTCCTCCGAGGTGACGCAAACAAGGCGAGGCACACTTAGAGATCCAAACAATCAAAGGGTCTCGTTAGCGTGCGCTGTCAGATGCAGCAGTGCTATTAATTACAACAAATTAATGTGACTCTCTCCACCTCGGCTGATTGGAATGATAATCAGGCTGAGCTCCGCGCGGGGGGAACATATGCAACCCTGCCAAAAACAATAAACACAGAAACCAACAGATGCTGCTGAATGTGTGTGTTTACAAGCTCAAAATACTTATTGGTTCCTTTTCTCCTGCGGACACACACATTAAAAATATGCCAACCTGCACTGCAGTGACATTTTGCTGTGCATAAAGGTACACTGTTCAGTTTTTTTTATTTAGTAAAGTGTAGCTGTCAAACTAAAAAAGCTTAATAACAATCCCCCTCCCCACTGAAGCACGTTCACATTTTTGAAAGACAAAAAAGTAGCAGTTAAATTGAGCAATATGTGTTCAGACAAATGCAGGCGTGACACTGTCTGGAAGAGAAGTGGGGGGCTA